CGGGCCGGATGGGCTTTTACGACCGGATTCTTTTGTTCAAAACCGCAAAATCTCGAACTTTAAGGCCATTTTTCGACATGATCCCATCTGATATCGAAGTTAAAAACGGTATCAGTCGATTCGCCTTGGCGAGACCTTTCCAACGGTGTATAGCATAGGCTGTACGCTCTTGGGTCAGTAAACCCCTCTATGACTTAACATTGTCCTTTGTTTGTGAATGCAAACATTCACCTATTTTTCTTGAAAAAAAGTGTTTGAAATTGAGATGATACGCGGAACGATGAGAATCGCAATAAATACTTTTTTTCCACCCTACACATTGTACGTCGCGATAATAGCATGCACGATATCTTTGGTGCAATAAATCTGCCGCTATCAAATTTATATGCACACTCATTAAACGCATGAACGATCCTACTCTACAGCACGATAAATCAAGCATACATAGTAAAATGTCGATTACCCGTCGCAACAGGGTGACAAATCGTTCTCGATAACTCACTTTTCTTGCGATCAACAAAGACGAGTAACGTTTCTTAACCGAACTTCGTATATACCAAGCAAGGCGTCTATATAATTTGCTCGCACTAATCCCGCAGCATTTTATCCGAAAGCAGAGTCGGGCAAAATATAATCTGATTACCGATCGAAGGTATTAATGGAACAATCACGAAGAAAATCTTAACGGAGAATTGATACGCAAATCCCCAAACGGTCGATAAAACGATTCATCGAAGCTGGTTGTCGCGTGCTAGACGACTCGATTAAGCTCATTGAAAACGAGACCGCAACTCCGCGACTGGAGCCAGCCAACACGCAACACATAAAACTCGAATCAAACGAATTAGTCGATAATCGTTCCGGCCGTATCCTAACAAACTGACGAGCGACTGTTCCATCTATCAAACCAACCGCAACGACAACACGAATCACAGACGGCATGTCGAATGACTTCACAATCAAAATACAGTTTGCCTTGGAAATTGTTCGGTTGCTGTCCCCCTAGCAGTGCTCGAAACTCGCTTGTCCCGGCGCGGAGCTCAAGTGTGTTTGTGTTTGTGAATCTCCTGCGAGACAGCGAGGAGTCGTGTTACGTTTCGCACTCTCTCGAAAAAAGCAAGACAGATTTCCTGGAAGATTAATCTCCCTTCAGCTTTAGTCACGTTGGGCCCCGAACGTCTGCTAAGGCTTAGGCTGCGTGCAGACGAGTGACTTTTCCCGTTGTTTTAATGGCAAAACATAGAAACGCAAACGATATCGCCAACAGTCGAATAATAAACTTTTGATTGCGAAACTTTATATTTTCAGTAAACGAAGGGTCCACGGGAAATGTAAAGTTTCAGCATTTCTCAGGAACCATTTATTTTTCAATATAATTCAACTGCATATTTTCTCACACATATCACGATGAAACTCTGAGAAACGAAAACTAGTTTTATCCCCATTTATTCGAACAAGGTCGTTATCGTCGCTGATTGACTCTAATTCCGTCACCAACATAACCAACTCTGTATTTTTCTAAACTGTGCGGACACTTTGTGATAATTATTTTTCGAACGAAAAAATACCTGTCATCGCGGCTGGACGTCGTTAAAGACCGGACGTCAGGTTTGGTCGCTAAAGCCTTAATTATCTTGCTTCGCAATGCTTGGAATTCATTGACGAACATTATGGTTGATTACGTACGCGGGAAGATTACGAGACTTTTAATGTCCTGGTCGAACGTAAACGCCTCGTGACAGCTGTTAATTATTAACCAAATGAATACTAAATTTCAGTCTATATAATGTCTTCTACAATTGATTTAAATAAGACTTCGATTCGGCTATGAATCATCAAGCGATCTCGATATATTCGTCGATTAATTACTGGAACTATCAGACAGATATTGATTACCAAGATGCAATACCGATTAAAACTTAAATGCACTCGAACAACATCCCGTTTACGCAGATATGTATTTACGTTATCGGCACATTTTGAGCAATTTGCTTCCTCGAAATTCAAAGGAATAAATATGACCACATGCATGTCAAAGAGCCAGGGACCCGGGCCAAAATCATAATAGAGAGTCAAGTGTGAAGAACTAGGTGCCTCGTTCAAAAAGCATCAACAATTCGAACCGTGCATCGCATACATTTACGCATAGTTTTGTCAATGACTTGGAATCCGGACCAAAAAGTTAAAGTTCGCGAGAAAATTTAAGAAGAATAAAAAAACAGTATATATTACACTACCTGTTTCTTCATCTGTTGCAGTGAGAGGTTAATTGTTTATTCGCCCTTTTTGAAGAAACTGTTCAATCGTCGGGGACAGACAAGCGTAATTTTACATAAAAGACGACGTGGTTAGAGGTCTCGCGACTAAATTGGCCGCGAAAACATTCCGAGTGGAGTCTGTGGGCCGCGTGTAAACTTTTGTTTACACCCACGCGACGGAAGTACCTCTCAACCGGTTGACTTTTCTGCTTTTTGTACAAATAAACAATAAAGTAGCCGAGAGAGGACTGGTTTGCTTTGAGCTCACCGCCAATTTTTAGACTTCGATTGCGCACAAAATTTTGAACACCGTTGACGTCGAAAATCGGATCGTTTTGCAGATGGTGCGTTTACGCCAACGATTCTTTTTTCTCTCAAGGCCTCGAGAGCCACGTGGCCAATTTCAATCGGCGAATCGAGAATATCGAATGATTTGTCGCGATTAATTCAACGCACGCGTCGAATATACGCTACACATAAGTATGACATTTCATACCACTATCCAGCTACTGTTACCCAAAACTGTTTTACGTAATATATCGAATAAACCTTACAAAGTTGTACGCGCAAAAAACTTATTGTATTTTGTATTTGAACAAACCACGTTTAGCTACAGATCGAAGAGACTTGAAAATGAGGTTTACACCTAACAAAACTTGGTTCCGCGATAAAAAATATATGTTCCATTGTTTCGCGTATCTGCACAAGCATCTCGTTTACCATAATCGCTGCCATACAAGTTTAACCTACCATGGCGCTGACAATTAATCATTCACGACTGTCCACGTGTAAAGCGTGTACATGCATTCAAAAGGAATCGACAGAATAATAAAACTCGAAGAATACAAAATGCTTGTCTCAACAAACTGCACGAAAATAGATTAGCATCCCACACATGCGAATAATCACGAAATCGTGGCCAAAATCAATATTATCGCGTTTCCCTTTCACAAAATTGATTTCGTACTAGTGTTAATAATAATATACAGAAATCAATGTTGTACGAATAAAATAAGTGACGGATTTTAAAAATAAGGCAACAAAAAGTTTATTACCACTCTAACGATACCAATCAAATTCATTTATTCCATGTGAATTTCGGATCTTGTGTCATATGGAATACGAGCAATACGAATAGCGAGTATTCTATCTGCATAGCTAATGCGTATACAGTGTGTGCGTGGCATTTAGGTAGACGTCGGCGCATGTCACGTTTCAATGTTTGACGAATAAGCAACCGGCGCGGTAATGTTTTTCGACGTGGTCATTTTCAAAGAATACATTTCGTAACACGAACGTTAAACCCGGCAACAGCCGCTCTCTCCTTTTCGCAAAAAACAACAACCGAGCACGTACGAGATATTGGTACCATCGACGTACGGATAGGGGAACGAAGCAAACGTACTTTTGACGTTTCAAGGCGTGAATACGTTACAGTCGAGCACAATCGGTATGCTTCTAAGCTATGCAGAGCTGAACTCGACATCTGCTTCAAATTGTTTCGGGCCACGAAGGGTTAACAAAATTATCGTTATGTGCCCTTCGCCACGAAAACTGATAAATATTTCAATATTTCGGTATAGCAAACTTCGATAGAAATTATCTAGTAATGTACACTGTAAAGCTGGTTATCTACCTTTTTAAGTAACGCTTCTAAAAACTTACTAATACAGAGAACGAATATAGCTTGTAGGCGTACGTTAAACGAATATTTCTCGATCGCAACAAAGATACCGGCCCAGCACGCCACGCATCGGTGACAACTAAAATGGCCACGCGGTTAGTCACCGGCATCTTATCGCGTGTAACGAAATCGCCGATCTTAACACCGCGAAAGGAAATTAAACAGCGCGTTCCACGCGGGCACAGCACGGTCGAAAGATCGGTCGAATCTTCTAGACGCGAAAGTGCAACGTCCGTTGGACGATCGATCGTAGAGGAGGGGGACAAAAGAAATCGAAATGTTTACGTACCCTTGTGTGAAATCGGTGCGAGTTGAGCCGTTCCTGAAGGTAGCGTGGCCGGCCGGCCTCGATCAACAGAAGAGACGCGGCGTTTTCGAGGTTTTTTCGTTAATTTGTTCGCTCGTTCTAACCGTCCGAACGAACGATCATTGTCTTGGAGCGACACCGCCGTTGCCAGGAGGGCCAAGCACAGTCAGTAAACGCGCGACGAGCGTTTCTTTCTTTGTCTACCGGGGGAACGCACGGGTATCGTGTTCACGAATGCACTGTCACTGACAGACTGTTCGAAACCGCTCGGTTCGTGCGTCTCTGGACGCCGTTTACCACGCTTCCCTGGGGAAACGCTGCTCGGTCTTTCTTTAACGCGGCGAGACCGATGAACGTGCGGCAAACAGGGAGGGGAGGGGGGCCAGAGACAGACAGAGAGGGAGGGAAAGAAGAAAAAAGGAAGGAACGAAACGGAATCAAATTTCCACGGCAGCCAATCGCGCTTCTTCGTTATCTATCGTGCAAAAAATCGCCGAACCGGCGTGCTTTAAAGCCGGCGAGAACAACGCTGTCCGAGAACTCGAAACATTTTTCGCGTAACGTAAAACTTATTCGTGTTTTTAGACACGATTATTTTCTTCGCTCGTAGACCACGGTTTTAGATTCATTTACAGATTCTAATTTTTAAACAAGTGCACGAACGAAACGTACGTGGAATAAAATTTGTTTAATTCTGGTTCACGGATGTAAGAAAGGTGATGTCGAGGCAAGGATGTAAAACAGTCGAGGCTCGTTGCAAAAAATGTACATTACGTTTATTGATGTTAGCTCGCGAAGCTCCTCGTGAATATCGAGTGGATTACAAAGAGGCGCTCGGTTTAAAGGGTTCTCGGGAGTGATTTTACGTCGTAACACGAGGTACACGACGCTTATGACCATCCGTAAGGGACACTGGTCGAGTACATTTCCTTTCTTTCACCATTCTGCTTTAAACAAGAAAAAAAAGTCCGCTACGGACTATAGAAATTGCTACGACGTTTCTATCGTCTGTTTTTTTTTCTTCCGTTTCGACTTGGCGTTACGTCCCTCCGCTACCATCTTGGATCAAAGAGACAACGGGAGATGAAAAGTATGCCCGGTAGCGGAAGACTGACGCGCGAAAGTATTAATAATGATATCCTCGTCCGACTGATACAGGCAAAATGCTACGGCTTGGTAAGGACAGTGACCGTTTATATTATTCTGTGGTAATATATACTATTGTATATCGTACCTTAATAACTTCTAACGCAATTGGGGTACAGGGTAATTATTTACACAGCCTTGGACCATTTTGCACGGTCCAGGATTACGCGGTACCGTTCCAAAGAGATCCATGGATTCGTCGATCCCATATAGCCGGTCTTCGCGTTTTGGGACCAGCATGATAGCACGTGATCGTTAACGATGACAAGTATCTTCCACATTCCTATCAACTAGTTATCAACATTTATACATAATACAACCAAGTTCCTCGCACGCACGCACTCTCAGCCCTCCACTCGTAGGATTGCGTAACGTTCTCGCCCTTATTTTTTGCTGTTCGGTAATCCTGATCGGTGTTATTGCGTGTCATTAAAAAACAACGTAAAATTACCGCACACGTATACGATGGTACTTTCAACGAATACACTTTCTCGAGTTCGACGACAAAAATGACACACATTTTTTTGCTCTCGATAGTTAATACGATTGTTAGTGCTTTCTAAATTGTTCGGTAAGAGCTTCACGCAGTATGGCGTGCGAAGGATTTTGCAAATGGGAGTTCGTACCGACCGCCATAGAATACAACACCGTAAAAGAACCGAACTATCGAATACTCGTTACAATCTCCGATCGAGAACGTACCTGTACGATCGTTTGTACAGTAAAGTCGGTTTCGATTTGTACTCGTAGATCGTATTCACGTATTTCTAACAGCGATTACGGAAACAAAAGGCGTTTTCATTCGTGTTTTCGCGTTGTTTGCAGAGATAAATGACGAAATGGGGATCGTTTGCTCAGGTTACGATAAAAACTTCTCGACGCTGCACATTCCTAGCGTGATCGGGGGTGCATTGCTGTGATTCCGGATCTTTCGCGCAGAAAGAAACGTTGTCGCTCGACTAACTGTTGCGTCCGAGCATTCGCGTTTTAGTATTTATTGTTTTCTAGAGTGTAATACAACCAACTGGTCGGAATGACAAAATCTAGAAATTTTTCTTCTCTCGTAACAGAACTCGATACGCTTGTAAAAGGCAACGTAATATTATTCATTGTACTTTATTAAAATATTACGATTTATAATCTTTGACGATGCGGCGAAGTTCTATTGGATGCAAAGAATTCAACCGTGAATAGTTAATCAGCAGGATTAATAACGCAAATTTGCTGTTAGTCGTATAGTGAACGTTTCCTCGTGCGTGAAAGCGCAAAAGGACGCAAGGTGAGATGGCACGATACCTTAATCATTAAAAAAAAAAAAAGAAGAGGTAACGAATCAATAGAAACGTGCTTGAGACCTTTTGCACTCGAAACATTTTACGCTTTCAATATGGTGAGGTTAGAACGGCATACGCGGAAAACTATATCAGGAATCCTAAAGAAGAAGAAGAAGGATGGAAAAGCGTATATACCTGCGATCGAAATCTTCCTCTTAACAGGGAAATGTCACGGCAGCAAGGTCGTCGGTTTTAACCAACATTTCTTTGACGAATCTGGAACGAAAGTTACTTTCTCATTTAAAACAGCGTAGTTAATTCTACAAAATGTTAAAATTCTAAAAATATGCTAAAATCCCACTCTTAATAAAATAAAAATTAATTTACCAAGTGGTTTTCTTTTAATAAATTCATGAAAATGTTTAAAGGTTATGTCCCCCCTTAATTGTATATTAATATCATTACATCTATCAAATTCAATATGAAATGCTAATAAATGATATTTATGAGCTCTGCGATTGCCGATACAAATTTAGCAAAAACAAAATTTGTCGAAACCGGTAGTTCTATTGCTCAGTCGCGTTTTATGTAAGGTTATAAAATAGTGCTCGTGGCTGACGAGTGCAAAAGCTCTCGGAAATGTAACACATGTCGAAGAAAAGGGACCCTAATTCACCTACTTCCAATACTTATTTACATGAACGCCTGTAAACGGGCGTCCAGGACAATTAATTATTAATTTGCGAATCGCGCTAACGAAGCTGCCGTCGAGTCGAGGCTCGTATTCAAACATTCTTCATTTTCGAATCGTCGTGGATGATACAATACAAAATATATCGTAACTCAAACAAGCTCGTATCTGGCATATGTTTATACTATTTTAACGTCCTGAATTTATTCTCGTCGTACTTTCAACATACAACGCAACACACTTCGCATTCCAGACAAGTATCAAACGAATCTATTAATAATAAATGATAAAACAACAATTCGTCGAGAGTTTAACACGAGCCTCGTAACGATATAAACAAGATCGGCGAACCTGCTCGTCCGAATTGCAATGCGCTTTTCGCGATAATCGTACACGACACACCCGGGGGCCTATGCACGCCATGCAGCGTGTGCCGTTACATTTAAAATAAGAATATAAAATTATAAAACTATCAACAAATGTACACATCGGTAGAAAAAAGTCTCGAGAATAATAAAATTCCAAGGAAACGAGAAAGAACGCGCGGTCGACTTTCGGGATTTGCTAATGCAAAATAACCTAGGCGATTTAGCAGCCAAAAAATATGATACCTGGAAGGTTTTATGTAATCTTTCTTTATTAATTATATCGATCGCATCTTGGAACGATCTAGTATCAAAATAAATTTAGAACAGGAATAGCTGCCACTCTTATTATCGAAGCACGTATGTGTTCCTAACCTAAAATTCTTTCAGAACTATTGCACTGTCGCTTCAGTTTTTACAACCGTTTTCAATCCCTGTAACAAATAATGGTTCAGAAATAGCAGAGCTCTATTTAAAAAATTAGAAATCGTTGTGTCGAATAAATAAAAGTAGAGGAAGTCTAAAAATAAAATTGATAACCCCGAAAGTCGACGGTCGCGACAACGATGACGATCTACGTAGATTGAGCTTTGGTCGAGAGGACCGGTTCTATGACGAGAACGCGTTTGTGCGTAAAGAAAATAAAATAGGAGAAACAGAAATATAGAATAGAGAAAGGGAAAATTTGCGTGTAAATTTTTGGCGCGTGTCTTCGCCGATGTTCATGGTTCGAGGGTAACTTTTCCGTATATGTATCTAGTGAAGTCAAAACCGTGGAGTTTAAACGCATCGACACTATGCAGCTAACTTGCATTTTTACTGTAATCCTTTGTGCTACTGTACTTTCTTTGTATTTGTTGAAACAGTACGAAATTGATAGTTATAGGAAATATAATCATTGAACGTTCAATGATTGGATTGAACTGGATGTTTTTGTTAACTATCAGTTTTGTACGATCAGCTATTATAACAAATAAATATACATTTAATTTTTTGTTTAAATATCATCCAAAAGGGGGCCGTTCTAAATATTTAGCCTCAAATATATCGCCGTTCGTTAGAAACGGCCTAAAACCCTGAGATGCGAATTTGCCTTAGTGCGATTAGTCCTCTCCATTGGAAATTGGCCAGGTAATCAGGTTTCTGCGTGGTACGAACCCTTAGAGGATGGACAGACTTCGTTTCATGCGTATTTTTTAAACCTCATCCTCCAAGGGTTCAAGTGTACCCTCTTAGCAGACAATGAATCGGCCTGTGACGTTACAAAGTTAAAAATATATCGATTGTTTTTCGTATGTGCGCTGCTATTGAACGAAATTGAAATTTTTGTCGGGATAAAACGGACGAACAACGTTGCATCTCGATTATCATTGCGAGCTGCATAATATAATATAAATACTTTAAAGGTATAAAAGTGCGGTGTTGTGCGCGATGCAGCTAAATATCATGAAAAATTTCTGATCGATCCGGACTCTACTTGCTTGGTCTTATTTCCGGATCGACTCGTGTCAAAAATCGTTGTACAATACCAATAACGTAGAAGCCGTGTCACGTAACAAAATCCCATAAAATCAGATACAGTCAGAGCGATAGCGAACCATGTGTGTATGTACGTGTGTATGTGTATATTTTTCAGCGACGATACATTAGAAAAGTTGTCGACAGTTAAAACTTCTCACGTTACGATAGAGTATAGATTATGTTTGACTAATCGTTACTTTACGTGGTAAAAAATCCGTCAAGCTACACGAATCTACGACAAAGTGTGTATCAAATTCTTTTCATTTTTTTTTTTTCCCCCACCCTTTTTCTCTAATAGACACCAGATAGTTGTATACCTGTATATAGCTCGTGGAACAACCGTCTGGTTCGAACAGAGAGCGACTCGCCGATGGAAATCGCCCGTTCTCCGTTAAAATAACATTTTTTTTCTTTTCGTTTTTCACTCGTAAAAAAGCTCACTACCGTTCCGATGTCGTTTTATAAATAACGAATGACACTATATCCGTCGCTTCGGCGTTCAGGTAATATACGGCGTTATAAAAGCACGATTCTAGCGACGACACAGTCGACCGGCGTTCGCGCTGCTCGTACTTTCGCCGTGGCAGTTTCAAGTTCGAAGGTGTTCCGGGGATTGAATTAGCGCGTGTGCTATTTCGCCGCCGGATGGTTCGTTGGTAAAATACGTACAGTTACGTAAAGTAAATCTCGTTAACCTTCCGGGCGTCGATAATGCGCTGTGCGTATCGTTTCCAGTGGATTTGTTGCACGTCGTTTTGCCGTTGCATAGACCTCGTTACGGGAAGAGTCAGTCGTTTCTCTCTGTTTCGTCGACGAACGTCCCCGTGCGGAAACACGATTTCTCGATCGCGTGCGAATTACTCGCACCGACTACTTTCAATACGGTTTCGAAGTTCTCTTACCCCTCGGTATAAGTTAACGCGATGAACGACGCGAATACGCGAGTTCCTTTCTCAAAGGAGCGAAATATATTGTTCGGACACGAAGCTCGTCCGACAAGTGCGTGGAGTCCTCGCGACGCGTACCAGATTCTTCTCTGTAAAGAGATCGTCGTCATCCTTCCGGGAGAAAGGTAAAAATTTGACAGACAGCTCGCGACTTTGAGCCGTGAGCGCCTAAGCGCCGACACGAGAACGGATACGACGCTACTGGAAGGCACGACGTCGGTCCGACGACGCTCGCTGTACGATGCCTTTTTCCCCAGGTGTCCCGATACCGTTCACATGTTGTATGCCACGTAAATCGGATCCAGCTGGTCCGCCAAGAAACCGTCGCGCAAGTGCATCCGTTGCTTTTCACCGCGCGAATTAATCGGGACCACTCCGGGATCCACTACGACTACCACACCAACCACCAGGTGATGCTCCTCGAGAACGGCGCTGGTGACCAACGCCACTAGATCCAGAGCCTCGCTTTCGCTTCCGTCCAGCTCCACCACCACCACCAGCAGGTTCGTCCACGTGAATACGGCGCTGCGAATCACACAAACGCTTCCTTATATAGTAAAATCCATCGAAAGAGATCGGAATCAAGATACGAACGAATCGCTTATGGAATAGCCGTGTGCTATCGTTCACTCACCATTCCGCTATCTTCTTGTGACACCTCATGACGCTATTCTCGATATCGATCGGGTGGTATCGCATCCCCCTGAGCAGAATAGCCTCGTCGAGGGCACCGACAACGAACACGGCGTCGTGCAACTCGGCGTCGCCGGGAACGAGATCCGCTTCCGCCGCGGAAGTGTCGCCGGGAACGTCGCTGATAACCGACTGCTGAACACACTCGGTACGCCTCAAGAAACCGAGATAACCGGTCCTGGCGTAAACCTCGTTCGTGTTTCCGGTCACGAGACGAGCGTTAAAGTGATCCGCATAATCGCTCTCATCGCCGTAGATCGTGAAGTAGCCGCTAGCGTTGTGAGCGGATTGCACCCAAATCTCGCCTAAATGAGAGTCGCCGCACTGTCCTTTCGTTTCCGGATTGGCGATGATCACTTTTACCCCGGGAAGCAGTTTTCCCGATTCCATGAGGCACAAAGAGTGAGGGCTACCCCTTTCCACCAAGGACACGCGATCGTTGCGCAACGCGCGCAGATCTACGTACACCGTGGACGGTTCTGGACTCGATGCACCCTGTTTCGAAAACAGCAATGTTTAACAGTGCTATTTGCTAGGACCATTTTAAGGATTTGAAATAATACGAACCTGTAGACAAATGGCTGTGTTGACTCTGCATCCGAAGGAGGTCGACACAGCTCGCGGACTCAGTCCCAAAGCGGAGAAAAGTTTGCTGAAGCTCGTGGTGAGGGCGATCCGCGGTCTTTCCTCGGCAACGACCACGCACGTTCTGACGCAGGCCAAACTGACGCCTCGTGCTTTCAGAGCGTGAACGGAGGAACCGAGACCCTTCGTGCATAGTTCCATTACGCCGTAAGAGCAAAATGTGTCTCTCACTCTGGACTGACTGACCGCCGACAGCCACAACGCTGGATTTGCTTCCACCTAGACACATATGGTTGCAGATAACGACTTTCCTTTGTAAAATTTTTAAACATCTGATGGAAACGAACCTCCGACGGTGGTATAAGTATGGAATGATGTCCGCTGTATATACTGCTCAAACACCACAACGCGAATCCTAATCCAGAGTAGGGATCCAAGCACAGAGCAATGTGCCTCGATGGATACAATTCACAGGCAAGTTTCATGGCACGGCACAGAGACGTAACAGCTGCGTGGGACATTTTAATTCCTGCGAGCATGCCCGTGGTCGAAACGCTGAAATCTAGATAAGCCAGCATCTCTGCCGTAGGAGCCCGATACATAACAGGTAGCTTCTTCTTTGGCATGTCGTCCATATCGAGAATCGTCGGCCAGCTCTTCACGTCGACAACGTTGTTCGCCTCCTGCGCATTGCATCGTCAACGAACCAGTTTAATTAGTTACGAACACGATCGGATTAGCAGCATAGCAGTCGTAGAAAACATAAAGATGTGCAGGCGATTCATTCGTTTCGATCGGTCCCACAGGGAAAATTTATTATTAACTGTTTAAACTGATAATATTGGCTTGGACCAATCGACTTCGTCCCGCTACGTTTCGACGATCGAAACAAATGAAACAGCCTGCGCGCAAAGCATCGAGAATCCATGGGATATCGGTGTACCTTCGTTTTCAGCAGTTTCAGGAGATTCTGATTCGTGAGCACGAGCACAGACTTACTGACGTCCACGATCATGCGCACGGTTGGCAAAGTGGTCTGGAGGTTCTGAGGATGAGGCGGCCTGATCGTGACTGGCACCGCTCCAACGTACAGGCAACCGTAAAACGCGCATATCAAATCTGTACCGGGCGGAAATATTAACGCCACGTGGTCGCCGGTATTGATCCGTCCGCGATCCAACAAAAGATTCCCGATCCGTTCGGCCTTTTTGTGCAGCTGAGAACAGGACAGGGAAGTCGCCACCGCTCCTTTCGCGTTCAACGACGTAAATATCACGTGATCGGAGGTACTGACTGCACGCCATCGAAGGATCTCCGAGATGAACTGATACTGAAATATTCAACGCGTAAATGACGGTACCGTAAAACTGGCAATAAAGTGTTCCGGTAAGGTCTGTAGATTATCAACGTTATCTTTTTTTCAATTCTACCCGATCCATTGGAATACTATGAAACATTCTTTGGAACAGAAGAATAATCTACAGCTCGTATCGTTCTATTCTTTCTACAAACTTTGTAGAGGCAAACCTTTTTAGCGTTATCACTGTCCTCGTCCAAGACGCCCATATCCCGTCCTTGAGCCGAGGCCAATCTATTACCCTGAACAATGTTGCCCACCATGACACTGGCCGGACCAACGTCTGCAACAGAATCCCCCGCTACACGCCCCCGCACCATTCCGTTAGTAAACCAACACAAACACTCAACCCAATAATGAGTAGCTCACACACTCTCCCCTGACTGAGGCCGGAAAATCAAAGCTCTAAGTACGTTCGTGAACTGGTTCGTTATCGTCGAAAGGCAATTAACGCACGTCCTTGTACAGGCGTGCTCGTAACGTTCCATGGACTGTACGTACTTGAGAAAAAAATTAAAAAAAAAAGAAAGAATTGAAAATAGAACTCGGTGCTTCTCAAGAAATACGATAATACAGCGATGTAAAATTAATCAACAAAGCGTTAGTGTTGAAAAAAAAACGAAAAAAATTGTAATTGTTCGAAAAAGCTTTCTTTTCTTTGTGAAAGAAAACTGTGTATACTGTGACGAGCAAAGTTGTGAATAGAGTACATTATTTCTGTATATACGATGTATTTGGAAAGAATCTGACATCGCCAAGTGTAATTCGTCTATGTATAGCGTTGGATCACTACAGGGTGTTCGGAGCTCAGCCAAAAGAAAGAAGGGCGAAAATAATAGAATAACATGCTAAGCGTTAAAATTATTTCGGTGGTAAGGTGGATTAACAATACATGATATGTAGCAAGAGACGGTTATATACTTTGTATGTCTGTGCTAAGTTGCTAAAAGCCTACTGACGACTTTGTAAGAAAGCGCAAAGTGTTACGTTACTTCGCGTGTTAATTCAGGACTTTCAACGAAAAATGAAATCCGAACAACTGCTCATTCATTCTCTCATTAATCATTCTCATAAACATCTTGGCGAAACGATCGAACAAACTGGCGAAAGATCGTTACCCGCGGAATCGTTCGGTGTTTCGTTCCAAGTCGCGTGTCACCGTCGAGCTGTTCGCCAATTTGTTGGACCGCGGTCGCTTAAATTAGATTCCGTAAAGAGAAACGAAGGAATGTTACGATCGAGATAGGTAAGTGTGTATATATTGTCCTTTTACTTGCTGACATTCATGTAATTCATCGAAAAAGTCCGTAATCTTTATCGGTATACCTGAAGCTCGGGTACTTAGTACTCGCAGGTGAATGTGCGACCGCTTACCTGAATGGACCTCGCGTGGTTTCGGTAGATTCGTAACGCAAGTGTGCGGACAAAGCAGAACATTAGCCGGGTGTAGTGTACCCTCTAGGAAACGTCTTTTCGTTTCCGACAGATGAATACCGCCGAGCGGCGTTTTCGGCAGGTAGTTAGGCGGAACCAACGCCAAACAATATATTCCAACGGCGTGAATCGAATCTACTGCTTGGAGCACCCGCGACATCCATTGGAAACTCTGAGGAATCAAACTCATATTACTTTAAAATGTTATATGGCCTCCGACAAACTAAACATCGCTATCGCGAGGTATATTCGTACCTCTTCCTCGCTGCAATCGGGTCGCTGCTCCGCGACGACGCATATTCTCTCGTCCCTCAAGACGCGTACGCTGAACACGGCTATTCTACCGCGATAAATGAACTTCATAGGCTCGACGGCGAGGACCGTGGCGATTATATCGTCGGCGTTGTGCTTTCTTCCCGTGACGGTCATAAGTCCATCGCGCGATCCGCATACGAACACCAGGCCGCCAGGTCCGAGAAAGCCTAACAAACCAGATCGAGTGTACTCCACCTCGCCCAGCGGATTCCCGTCGGCTTGAAGCGGGGCCACCTTGAACGTGTTATTCGTTAACCCTTGCAACCCCCAGTACTGGTTCCCGGTCGTGGAACTGTGCACGCAGATCTCGCCAACTTCGTCGGTCTTACAAATGAACGGCTGCCCCTCCATCTTGATCACGATCACGATACCTGTTCGGGGTCAAGGTAAACGTTACCGTATTCGATGGCTAACGAGTCGTTCGGATATCTGGATGGAAACTTACTTCCGGGCATAACTTGACCGCAGTCCTGGAGCGTCAAGGAGGTCAGGGAATTCTCTTGATCGACTCTGACGACGCCGTAGCTCAGTCCGGACATCGAGAGCACGCCGCGTCCAGTCGCGTTCACGCCAGCGCGACCCGGTCTCCTAACCGAGACGGTCAATGCTTCGCTCGACGACGCGCACGGACAGACGGCGTCCGGTCTCAAGCCTTTGGACTGAAATACCGAGAGGAACTGGTCGCAGGAGGATAGGGACCAGGGATTCGCGCCGTCCGCTACCAACAACAGTCTCAGCGACGACAAAGAGATGTCCTTGTGATCCTTCGTGGCCAGGAGGCCCCAGTGAAGGTCCCGGGACTTTACCACGGCCACGCTGGCCCGATGCTTCGTGATCATTTGCATCCAGCTGGCGGGATTTACTTTCATCAGAGCGTACGGAATGAAAATTACGTGCATTCCGTTCAGGACGCTGGTCAGAGTGCTGTGCCAGAGGCCGACCTCTCGTTTGAAATCTAGAACGCAGACCGCGTTCTCCCCCTCCGTGTACCCGCAGGCTTGCGTCAAGCCCCGACAGTGGGACAGCATCGCGGATCTGGTCACCGTCACGCCCATCACCGAGCCATCCTTGTCCGTGGTGTACTCGATGTACGCGGGTGTATCGTCGGTCAATCGCGGCGGCGGTAGCCAATCTTTCGGCGTTTTCCCCAGGTGTTCCGTTACGAACCAATGGAGCTTCGGCCAGCCCTTGAACGCCACCACTTCGCCGGCTGCGGTCTTCGGTAGCCCCTTCAGACAAGCCTCGCTGGTCAACGCCACCTACGAAGGATTTTTTGGTTATCGGGTTTTTATTCGGGTTGGTTATATTTTTCCAGTTGGCGATTAGTAACCTGAATCCCACAGCTGCCCAGAAGAAAGCCGATCTGCTGCGAGCCAGCGTCTCGACGGGTCAAAGGGACCTCGATCGGCACAGGTACGATGCCAGCCTGAAGGCAGCCGTAGAAGGCGCACATGAAGCTTATCGGGTCGTTGTTCGGATAAACCAGGGCGATTCTGTCGCCAGGTTTCAGGCAGCAATCGCCCCCGCGACTCAGTGCCTTGTTCAGCAGCGTGTACGCTATCTTGTGAGAACGACTTAGAAGCTTTCCATAAGTGAGCGTCACGCAAAGCTTGCCGTTAGGATCCAGGACGGTTGCCACTGGCGCTTTGTACGTTGCCGATCCATACCTACGCATCCAGAATCGTTGTTATTATCGCTAGTGAGAGCGCGAACCCTCTAGTGGCGAGCACGGGAGGCTCACCTTTGTATAGCGGCCTCGAGTGACCTGGGCAAACCAGCGGCCACGGAGAACGGTTCGCCGACCGCGGAGGTCATGGAACCGCCCTCGGGTTTAGGGGCATTCGGGTCCTTCGGATTGGCCGCGATCTCCAGCTCGATGTCGTCGTCCTCGTAGAACTCGGGCAACGGTCGTCGCTTGGGCCGTTTCAACGTGTTCAGCAGCTGTTGGATCTTCGCGGAGACCTTCCAGCGGCCGGTGGTCCCGGTGTTGTTCTGATCCTCGACGACGTGGTAGCGGTTCACTCGATCGGCGCCCGGTCGCCTGGTCGATTGCTGCGCGGCCGGCGTGTTGCTCGTGTGCGTCACGTCCGGCGGCTGGATGTTGCAGTAGGCATGGGGCGTGTATTCCGCGATGTCCGTGATGTCCGCGCCAGGAGGTCTCCTGGCCGGTGGTCTCGGAGGCGGAGGCGTGTCACGCGCCGAACCGGTGCTGCTGGTGTCCGACAATCCTGTGCCTAAAAGCCCAACGTGAAACTCCACCGACCACGAGCAATGCCTCCGCCATTATTCACCGGGATATATAAAACGGACACCATCTCCCGATCGACAGCCGATACTCTCACAAATATTTTGATATCAAACTATTTTCTTCCTTTTTTACCCTGGTATTTGCAACGACTTCTGCACGAAACGAAGCACAGTGTTCCGAAAACCCTTTGCAAATGAACGCAAGAGGAAGTGAGACAGAGAATAAAATTACAGAAAAATTCCAAGTTACACATTATATTTTCGATAAGGAATTTTTTTAGTACGATTTGAAATTTCTTAATTTTGTCGAAGAATTTAACGACTATTTGAATTTTTTTCTCGAAAATGCGTAGAATCAAAAATGATTGCAACGATATGTTGATGAAGATTGGACTTTTTTCGGGTTTAAATCGCCGTTTTAGAACACTGTGCGACGCGAAGGCTCTTAGAGAAGTCTAATGATCTATCGTCGAGGAACGAGCATCCCGATGCCCACCGAAGTGTCTCGACAACGCATTCGTATTAACGCGATAAACGGAATGGCGCGGCCATTTGTAACGGATCGAGTTATTATTCGTACATTCTATATTAAAGGTTTGGCTACTCGAAGTAAATTGCGGCGTACCGGTGATTCTTGGCCCCGAGTGACGAGCATAAAATATGGAAAAATTTAGATTCGAAGGAGGTATACCCGTTGGACCACCAGCACCGGGACTCTCCTCGGTGACCACGCTGTCCTCGTCGCTGCTGGACTCCCCGCTGTCGCGACGGTCCCGGTCGGGACTCCTGGCCATCACGGATGTTCTTTTAGACGGCATCGGCAGGGACGGCTTCGGGCGACCCTGCATCGCCGCCAGTGCCTGCTGCACCGCCTCCTGGCGCACCTCTGTGCATTCAGAGTCGAACGATCAACTACATAACTTCTCAACAACTCTGGTCGCATTGTACTTTTAGAGACGACACGCGCACGGATATCCTGAAACGGGCAACTTGTACTTTCGACTATGCAGAGCTTGGGTCTTCGCGCAAAGTGTAACGACTGCTCGTCGTTCGGATATTCCTGGCGACCCGCTCGTCGCTCGACACAGATAGATACTTCATTTATCTACGCGTTTTTCGAAAGTTTCCTCGCGGGCTTCGGGATCGCGGATCGAGGGGCCGTCGCATCCGGGAACTATTTATTCCGGAATTTCTCAGGAAAGCACCGTATCGAATTATCTTATTTCCATCGCTGCGTGTGCACTCTCACGTGCGATCGCGCGACCGCCTCTCTCGTAACAAACCGCGTCCCGATGTCGTAATATAACGATACAAATATACCTCGACCGGAAACGCGCCGATTCGCTGACCGAATCCGCCTGGTCTCCGTTGCGTTTCGCTCTATATTCTCTATATTACGTTGCAAACATTAGTTATTCCGATCTAAAAAATACCCGTGAAATTCAGAGTGAAACTTTTTCAATCGCGTATATAAGAAACTGTCTTAACTGTACGGAGATTAACCCTTAAGTGGACTTTCAATCTCAAACTACGAACTAATGTAGGATTAAATAAATTTTCAAATAATTACATCGATATATATTAAACGAATAGTCCACTTAAGGGTTAAAATTACTTGATTTTTTCTTATACAATTCCAAAATATTCCGTGGCGATTCAAGTACCGTATGGAGACTGATTGAAAATCGAAAGATTAGTACCAACGTGTACCCTTTCCGTTACGTATTAAAAGTGGGTGCACAGAGCGTTGGGGACGATTACTATTATCGAGAAAGGACGTTGCATCGAGCGGACACGAAGCGTATTTGCGTGTAAACGCGCGCGGACATTCCTCGAATAGGCACCTAGTTATCTTCCGCCAGCTACGTTCGTCCTCTTCGACCGGTAACGGTGCACCAGGTGCGAGATTGCCTTCGCTCTACCTCTAGATAAATGAAGTTTCTATGCGGACTTTTATGCACGGAGAACCGTTCGGTTTTCGTTCCGTTCCGGCGAGCACCGCGCGAAAATTTACAAGCTTCGCCACACGCACGCCGCGAAAGCTCCACCGACAGAGATTTTTCGGGTGCCGTTTGCTTATTATACAGGGTGGTTTATTTGTTTTCGTCGCTTCGAACGTGCCTGTTACTTCCAACCATGGAGCAATACCCTTTTTCGGAACTTGAGGCAACTTGCAAGAGATCACATCCGCAGGGTCCATTTACGAGGATTCTTTAACCCTTTGCACTCCAAATTATATTCCAATTTTGTTACCAGCGGCTCCCAATGCTTTTAAAAATTTACCTGTTAAAATAAGTGTTTTATTTACACTGTTGTTGTATTTTGTAATTTTCAAGTGTATGATATCTGTTTGGTTTGGACTTGAAAAAATGTCGAATGGGACTCGACGAAGGAGTGCAAAGGGTTAATTTTAATTTTTGCACCGTCGAACAAATATGAAATCACGTCGATACATGGTGGTCACTGGTGACCGGCGTTACGTGCACACAACTTTCCTTTCGAACGTACCATATTGTTCATAAATATTTAAACAACGTTATTGGGAACGGTATAGAATGACGAGTGCACCGTCGAGTATTTCTGTTTACGTATCGCAGTAAAATTGGAATAAACGTTGATATTTCTAGACATGGAAAACAGGCGTGGCAGTGAACGTGTTAAAAATAAAAAAAGCTTACCTGGGGCGACGAAAACGAACGAACCACCGTGTACATTACCTAATGGACAGAGTTGGGAAAATTTTATTCGCAAGTAATAGGGGGAGCGGGGGAGGGGGGGTGATCGGGTAGATGAATAAGTCTAATTTTTTATTCGATTATTCGTGAATGAAATTTGCCCGACTCTGCTGAAAAATTGTTCCCTTCCGCGCGTCGAGAAGTGCTTGGCAAGCGATCGGTAGGGAAAATGCTACGCTGGTCGAACGATCAAAGGGAGGCACGAATTCTTTTTGTTACGAACAGTTAGGGGATCGAAGGGGATCGTGCAATTACAGGCAAAACATTCCGAATTTACAATACGACGGAATTCTGATCGGTTGCATACCATTGTTACCCGGAAAACCCAACCGGTTTCTTTGCAGCTCGCGGCTATTGACTCCGCGATTTGCTCAAAAGTAATTGCACGCGTTCGACGCAGGAAACGCTTTATCAGAGCAGAAAGCACTCGCGCCGAAAGCACATTCCTCGCACTCGCAAAGCATATTTCCGAGCTTAATGTTGCGCAATTACTTGAACAAGAGTTACGATTTTTCAAGCGTTCCGAGTGTAGCGGAATTACTACCCGTTTAGGCTCCGATAATTGGTCTTCGCCGATATCTTTTTATTAACGTCTAATTAACGCGCGACGTACTCTCGATCAGCCCCGATGAATCTCCTCGATCAAATCGACGCGCAATTTTGCAACGAATTCGCCCGCGAAAAAAGAAGACTTTCAATTCTCAAGGGCGGCGTTGCAAAATTAAAGTTGCTAGGAAATCGTGTTGAAAACAATTCTAGGAGTGCAAAGCTTAATTAGTATAAGCTAATATTAATTTTAACGAATGGAGAAACTGTTCCCGGTTACAAGATTCTGTAAAATGGCGTTGCGTTTTATTGATCGAGAATCTGTCGCGTTTTAGTTTCTACGGTTGCTGGATTAACCCTTGGACAGCGACGACAGTCTCGGTTGCTGATTTTAAAATTCGAATGGTTTGCAATTTAAGACGAGAAGCATCTACGGAAAAGCAAAAAACACGCAACAAATACGTCTGAAAACCAAAAATACATACAAGAACGTTCGAGCATCGCCGTAATGCTAAACTGTTTTTCGTGTCTTAGGGACGAGGAACTCTGGTAGGACCACCTGGTGGATATCGAAGTGCAAAACTCGGTAATTTTCGTAAGCAGGACGAAGCCAAAGATGGCACGGAACGAGGCTGTCGAGTAAACGGAGGATCGGCTCGCGACTATGGTGTACATTAGCGTAAACGATAATACGCGCATAGTCGACGTCGTCCGAGGGTTAAGGACCCGTTAAACGCTTTTTTTCGTCGCTTTAGACCGTTTGATCGTCCAGCTGTGTCGTGTACTCACCGGAATGATAGCGGCTCTCATTGCGCGTGAGTCTGCGATTGCCGCGTCTCGCAGCCGCCGAGTTCGAATTCCCGGTGTTTCCGGTCGAGCCGCCAGATCCCGGGGGACTGGCGATCCCGCCAGGTACTAGCCGGCCTCCTGCATGCAACACAACAACAACAACGCCACATAGACAAAGAAAGGAGGTCTACGAGGATCGACAGGGGAGCTAACGCGATTTCGTTCCTTCCAGCGAAACTGTATCTTCTAATCGACCCAAAGAAACGACTCCGTTTCGCGCCATTTTAACGCTCGTCCGACTTTCATTGCAACGAAACGAATATCCAAGATCGTGGCCACGTTGAAACTTACGAATTTAGGCCTGTTTTATGTAAATAGGTTTCATTTATTAATCGCGAATCAAGTCTCGTTCAATGCGAGCACGATCCGTTTGTCTCGAATCACCTGCGAACTGGATGGTTGCAATTGTGTGCTCGACGTTGGAATCGTTTCTTTAGACTGAACGACGGACCGGAGGTCGTTCCACCTTCGGAAGCTGCGACGATTTCACTTTTATCGATTGTTCGGAGCCCTGCACTGGCGCGGGGGAGGTCGGACGAGGAGGTGGGTCTGTGACGCGACGTAATTTGAACTTTCTCAGCTCTCGAAGACGCGAAGAACGATACAAAGGACGATAGATCGTCCGATCTATCTCTAGGAATTTTCCTGCACCGAACGGCTACAGTGACAAACACAGTAAAATATGATCTTGTGCATTTTTAAGACTGGTTACGAAATCATTTGCAACTTAAAAAAAAAAAGAAATATGAAAACGAGGAGAAGAAAGTAATCGAAATCTGGTAAGCCATCTTTGAAACGTTGTCACGAGTCCTCGCGATCGTGGTCCGAACAGGACACAGAAGAGAACTTATCGGAATCCCGGATCAATGTTCCAACCCACGAGTCGACTAATGACCAACGCGGAAAAATCAAGGTGTCGCGGGCAAGTCCATGACTGTATCGAGTAACGTTCAAGTCGAGTCGCAAGAATGTCGACGAATGGCTACTTGCGATCTCGAGTCGGCCGAAGGTGGAACAACCGGTCCCGGCTAAGTCGAATTACAAAGGTATCTAAGGTGTAAAAGCGTCTCCGCTCGAATCGGTACGAAAGAGGGATTACAAGCAAGCGAGCTACATTCAATAAAAACGTGTCAACCTCTTCGAGATACGTGCTACTCCGAAAGTAAAACACTTTTTTCCGGGATTTCTCGATGTACGCTATTAAAAAAATCACCCGTTCGGTAGATACAATCCGATGCAAAGCGTCACGTAACAATTCCAGTTATTATTTACAGTACAACGATTACACATTTTAAGAACACGAAGAGATTGAGTAAGCACGCAAGTCTGAACACTACTGATGAGAATGACGATTTACGGATTACTGATATTAATTATGGGATGAATCGTGAAACGTGATACGATGATGGCTTAAGCCTACGATCCGAGCTCGCTCTAGGAGCTAATTCTGACCTCGTAGAGCGGACGCGTGCGATCGGACGATGATGGAAAGTATTCGTGGAAAAGAAAAAAGCCAACTGAATCGATAATGCGAAATGTAATCGGTTAAACGAATCCTTTGGTTCGTTCGACAAAGCCACGATTAATGGTTACATGATATATCTACGTGCGTGGATAAAGATCTAAACCGTGCACACTCACAACACAGGATTCCCGGCGACCGTGTCGAAAAAAGTAACGCAGTTTCGCTGAAACACGTTCACGCTATTTACACGCAACGTTGGTAACTATTTCCTCCGCGAAGCAGGACAATTACGGATCTACGAGATGCAACACTTTCTATGTACATTTCTCGGATGGAAATCTGACTTCTTGCAAAAATTTCTGCCCCCGGTGTGATTCGAATCCCTTCTTTGCGCGACTCTCTCGCGATAAAAAAAGACTCGTTCGTGATCGCGGCGGTGCCGGGGATTGGATTCGCGAAAAAAAAAAAAAAAAAAATTTGCCAACGAGTGGCGCGAAGAGCCCCAGCCCGAGGGTGCCCACGCTTAATTAAGACAAGGACCAACGGCATCGCAATTATCCAACGAGTGCTCGACGGCCTGACAGCTATTCGCGGCTCTCCCTGTCTGTCGCTTGCCTTTCTAATAAAAAAAAAATTTTTTTTCTACCGCCCGAATTCAACTCTTTGCCCGATACCGCGATCCACGTCACGCTCGACAGCCCTTCTTCGAACGAAAAAAAAAAAATATTCGTATCTTGAAATGTTAAAGAAAATGGCGAAAAGTTTCACCGAATCCTTATGCTGTAAAAAAATCTCGTTTTTACCCTTAGTAATGAAACTTTGATCGGAAGTCAGATTTCAACGTCGAATGATTTCGCCCGTGAAACTCGAATCTGTTAAACTGGAGAAGAACAAGAACACAAGGGATTCGATTATAACATAAACAAAGAAGGGTTAAAGAAACATAAAGCTACGTGAGGGGGTGGGAGTGTCACACAGTCAAAAATGCACACTGGTCGGCGAACATACCAACGCATCCCAACGGCTAATGACAACGATATGTGTTCCTAGTGAAACCAATTGGTGCACGACAGTACTAAGAGCGTCTCTAATAGCTAAATCGCAGGGTCGCCGATGCAGGTAGCCATAGATCCCGCATGACCCGCATCTAGAACTCTAATTGTTCTCTAGGCGTGGTAAGAGGCAAGAGTAGAAAGATATGTATAAAAAAACGTTGAATCGTGCAATGCGTCGCGCTACCTGAATGATAGCGCTTCTCGTTGTGCGTGACGCGACGTTGCGTGCGGCGTGCACGTGGCTGTGGTCGGCCACCGACACCGATACCGACGCCGACGCCGACGCCGACACCGACACCTCCACCACCACCGCTTCCATACCCCGTTCTCTCGACCCTTTCGATACCGAGGACGCCGACACCTCCTCCATCGTTTCCAGCCCCTGTGCGCCACACACGTGCATATGCTAAAGCCACCCTCCAGACTCCCCCACACGCTCTACCTTACGCCGCACTCTTTCCCGTTCCGATTCTCAAACGAGGGAGAAACGCGTCGTTTTCCACTCTGCGTTTACGCCCAGCTACCCGGTTACGCGTACAAGCGGTTCTAATAATTCAAAATGAGACCGCTCGCGTCGGGGTACTTCTTTCCTCTGCCTGGACCTTGCAAACCCAGCATTCTGATTCGTCGTTTTGGAATTATCTCGCGGTCACGGTCTGCTCGAATTTCTAATATCTAACTAATAACTTTAATGTTAAATATCTCAAAAACTATAAGTCGTTTATGTCCAAAACCTCATCAGGCCTCCGGGGCTTCTCCTTGTTAGATAGAATGCTGTTGGACAACCGTGTAACGAGGGAAATAGCTTTTCCCGCTACTTTGAGATCGCAATTAAATGCTCTTTTCTTTGCCCGACAATTCCAGATACGACGCGTATAAAAAAGAATAGCTACGACTCAATAATCACGAGCGTTTCGAGCAGCGTGCCGCTAGCGCGCTTCTATCGCGTGCAGGGGACACGGGAATCCATGAACCGTTGACCCGGGTCGCATTGTCGGAAGGCATTCAAAAACGACAACGAAACGTTATTGTAACCGATGAAGCAGCGAATACAATGCTGTGACAGGATAATCACCGGTTATACGTAATATGTCCTCAGGTGGAAGCTACCTTTTGTTCGCGGTTACGTGTACCTCTTGGGACAGTCGTGAATCAAACGCCAAGATAAATCGTCGGCGGGGGGAGGAGGCACAAACTGTAAAACACCTGTTTTCTCGAACCCGTCCTCAAAGACACGTCTTTCTGTTTCTTTTTTCGTACGATGACGCAAATAACGCGCTCTGCTCGTTTCCCAGTTAGATTCGTGCTATCTTCGTCGATGCAACTGCATATATTATATTTAGAGATAAAAAAAAAAATGTCGCGAACCAAACTGAATGCAATTAAACGGTCGCTCGTACTCGAAGAATACGGAAACGACTTTACCTAGGTCAAAACGATCCGGCGTACGAGGGTTAATTAGTCTTAGTCTCGCTCGTGTTTTTCTATTTTGAATAATACTTGGAGTGAAACACGCGTGTCGACCATTCCTGAGTTAACAACGCGCCCGACGATACTTGTTGCAAGTATGTATTATTCAGCGTATGCGTTACGCCGTTAGGCGGAATTAAAATTAAGTTGCCACGTACGAAATATTGCTTCATTTTATCGCGCTTCGAAGTAACTCTTTTAAAACTCTATATCGAGCTCCAAGATCGTATAACTCATTTTACCATATATGAAATCGTTTAAAGAAACGTGGCTTTCTAACAGAAATATAATTTATTCGATGTCTTGGGGTATAGAACAGGTACTTGAATATCGAAACGTTCGATGCCACGATAGATTGCAAACTCGAAAACAATAATCGAATTAGTTCTCATCGCCAAGAACAATGCGTCATAATGACCGAATGAGGCTACCCAACGAACTGCAACGCGCAAGAAACCACTATTGCCATAATGCAACCGGCACGGTTCGAAGATTCGCGGTAAAAGGAACGGGTCAGCAACGGCGTGGCTCGAGCAATTCAAAACGATTTCTTTCTATTTTTTCCCGGCGACTAAAAATCAACGACGGTTCCAGGATTCGAGAAAGTCGTAAGCCCCTTTGGCCCCGAGTCCCGCGCACGACAATAGCAAACGTATGTCGCGTATAACGAGCGGATGACGCGGAAGTGACTCTTCCGCATGCAGGTACAGTTAAACAGTACGTTCGTTGTAACCGATTGCAACGGTTCGATCGCAACTCTAGACGAAGCCGCGACTAACAAGGAACATCCTCCAAGGTGTTCGAGCCGCTAATATCCCCCAAAGCTTTGCCGTTTTCGAAACAGTGGAACAAGTCCATCTCAATGATTTTTTTTTTAAACAACGAATGCAACACATCGTTTTAAGCAGAATAGCTAAACTGTGGCTCTCAACCGGCCATATTGTAATAAAGTACTTTTCAGTGAAAGAAACGCAAAGACGTGTCTCCAGCAGGGACCAAGGAGATTCGGGGTGTCGTGTCGGCGGCACGCGTTTCTGAATTGCGAAACGCGCGCGCAAGGAGTGTCCAGGATAGCGAGATACGGTCGTTGGATCGATGGAAAAAATCTTTACGAGGTTCACGAGGAGCGATAAGGTGATTGCGCAAGAGAGGAAAACCGGTGGAAGGTGACGGATGAAAAACGGTGCTCGAGGCGGGGATCACGCGGCCGTGTCCGCTCGTTCCTCCGTTTATTCCCATTACGATTGCATCTGTCGGCATTGTGCGCGGAAAGCAAGCCCGCGCGTCTCTTGAGAATCGGAACGCAATTAATATTACGACGCGACGACGACCAAGAGATCGGTTGTTGCGTCTGGATGTGGCGCAATACGAGCGCGAGGACGAGAAGCCTTCCGAAACAGAAACAAGACCGCGAGATTCGTGAAGCTTTTGACCCCGACCGGCGGAGGAAATAAACGATTAAACCCTTCGCGCTTCTTCTCGAGCCCCATTAAGCGAATTAACTCCGTTCGCCGTGGATCATCGACTGCTCGACGCCTCCATAGTCCACAGACCGAGAATATCTAAGTTTTACCTTACGATCGGTGGTACTATCATTGTGCATGATTTTTATTACTTTCAACCCTTAAATGCATTGGATCCTCCGCAAGTTTAAACTAATAACTGCTTAATGTATGTAAAATAATTCGGTTGAGATTGAGAGTCCACTCAAGGGTTACATTTTAGAGTCGCTCGTAATTCGTATAAATGTTTATTTGCAACGATAAGAACGACTTGAATGGTTGGAAAGCGAGTAGATAAATAGAATAAGAGAATTTTTCCACGATAAAAGTAAAACGTTCGCGAACACGAGGCAGGAAACAGCGCGTAAATCGGAGCTTCTCGTCCGCACGCGCGCGCTGATTCGGTAAGAATGAAAATGATGATGAGCATGATGTTCGCTAAGGTTTCTTGCGAGCAAACAGGAAAAGTCAGACTTACCCAGCTGCTTCGAGGCATACTGTTGAAGCAGACGCGTCCGTTTCTTTTCGTACCCCTTTTGCGTTATGTCCCCTGTAACAACAAATCGATAAACATTTATTCGCAGTAAAAAAAATCGTGTCATTTCGTCGCGTTTACCAGCGGCGTAATTGCCGCGTCGCGTGTCTTTCGCGAAAATAGGAGAAACAAGGGGATCGTTGCGCGCTGAATTACCTTGCTCCCGAACCAGTGACTAAATAAGAAAGATCTCAATTTCCCAACTGCAATTTCTCGGACCGATTTCCATCGACGGGCCGAAAAAGGACGTCTTTCGATAGCTCCTCGCGCCTGATCCCGTTCGGAGTAATTTGTTCTCGCGTTGCGGCACGAGACGCGAGGAATTCCGAGGACGATCGGTGAACGCGTCCAAGCTATTCGTTCCAACGTTAGAAATCGACGCCGATAATTCGCGAATACGAGTCGGAAAAGGAGACGCCTGGTTCGAGGCGACCTCGTCGTACGCGAGCAATGAAATTTCCCGAGCGTTGGACATTCCGAGCCCTCCTAATTATGCTAATCTCTGCAAACTGCTCTAGAACTAATTACCCCGATCGTTTTGTTACCGTCGACGGTGCGGTAGAATTTCGACGAGCGAAAAAAACGAACTCGTAGAACGATACTGAAAGTGGAAACCAAAACACGCGACGATTACGAATCATTGATTTACGAGAAAATGGACATTTTTGAACAACCTTCCAATTATCGACATATCGACATTCCAACGTTGAATGGAATTTGCTATCAAGGAACATCTCTCGATCTTTATCCGTTTTAACGAGTAAATATGAGATACGAAAGGTATCCCGCGACGATGATTCACGCCGATGGGAACGAAACAAACGTGTTTTTCGTTCATGAAATTCTACAGGGTAGGTGCATTGTGAATTTCTGCAT